CATATAAACTCCGTGTATGTGCTCACTCCCTTTTTTATACCAGCAGATGGCACGTTCATGCTGTTGTTAGCTGTATCAGTCATCTTCGGTGGGTAATGACTACTGTCTCACTCATCTTTTGTCTTTGATTTGTAACTCTTGGATGCAGGCAGCACGGGTTTTTGCATCAAAAGATCCTGCTTAGATATCTAAACTTCACTATTTACTAACTCAGTGGCATTGGCTAAATTATGTGCTCCCCTTTGTCTCTTTGTGGGAACACACAGTATCACGTTTTGCATATTGTAAGTCACTTGGACGCTGTGCAGTAGGTAGAAGTGGCTTTGATGGGAGTAATTTTCCTTGCCTAATGTAATAGCCCCTCCCCCACTTCCCTGTACTTCTAGTTAACTCCACCTTAGGCTCTGGTTAAGCTTGACTCAGGTGTGAGCTCTCTGAGAAAGCATCCCTGAAGTCTCTGCTTGGCGATGGCTTTTTCTTTGACTTCCTATGATACCAGCTCACTGTCTAAGTGACAGGGGAGATAGATACTGGTGTGTGCACGGAGGGGCGGGCTGGGGGAATAGTCGGGGAAGTGTTTCTTGTGCAAGCATGCTATTGGATCTCTCGCATTCACATAGAAAGGTGGGCATACACAGTCTCGAACATGTCTAATCCCAGTGCTGAAGAGTTAGGAACGGGTGGATCCCTGGGGCCTGCTGGCCAGGCAGCCTAGTCAAAATGCTGATCCCTAGGACCCAGTGAGAGACCAACATATGACACTGACTTCTGGCTTCCACACAAATGTGTGTCTGCCTACACATGTGTGTGCACCCACAACCTAAACATTCACAGACACAAAAGCAGTAAAAAGGATACTGAAAACTGCTGCCCGAACTCAACAATGTGTATAATATTTGCATGCTGTTTGTATATTATATCTCCATTTCCACACTGGAGATGTCTTAGAATGGTTTTTTTTCTTTTACATCATAACATCCCTTCTGTCCTATCAAAATATTTTACAAGAGTGATGCTTAGTTGTTATTTTGACTAATTTAAGTCATTCTCGCAACAGAGCTTCTCTCAGCAGTGAGTGTGCTGGTTGTGGTAGGACCACAGGAGACGCTGGTACATGTAGACACTGTCCCTGTCCTCACCCACGCCCTCCTCCTGAACCGCTCTTAGTGAATCGTGGTGGTGGGAGGAATATACTACTGTATTCCAGTGAGGCCCCTCCAATGCATATGCAGAAGAGTGATGGGAAACACTCGGGGTACAACTTCCAGAATGACCAGGGCCACTGTACTGGGCATCGTTGGCTTGCTGGTTCTTGGTGGAGTGCGGGTCTAAGCACACTACGCTGGGCTATGATAGTGCGCGACATGACTGTACAGCCAAACCCAGCCCACTGGTCCTGTTTACTCTCTGTCAGGCCGAGCTACAGAAGCTAAGACAGCAAGCCCTGGAGACCAAACACTTCATTGAAAAGCAGGAGGTGGAAGAGCGGAAGCTCTTGCGAATCATCGCCGAAGCTGATGGGGAGAGGGTGAGGCAGAAGAAGGAATTAGACCAGGTAAAAGCCCCTTGTCACACCCGCTCTGGCAACCACGAGTCCATTGCCCTTGGTGAGCCATGCTTGAAGATCAGCAGTACAGCCGTGGGCTGGCCGCGAAATAATCACCCATCCCATTCAGTTATGAGCACTTCTTGTCATCAGTTGTTCTTCTAAGCACTGGGAACACATTGGCCAATAAAGCCATCGGTCCCTGTTTTCAGGGGAGGTCAGCTCTACTTTACTATAGCTGCTCACGTGTCAATGTCGTTCATAATTGCATGACAGAAGCTCAAGTGTATAATTTTGTGATTAGAAACATTATTTTTTTCATAAAAAAGAAATGCTTTCCCTATGTAGTCCAGGCTGGTCTTTAATTGGTTTATCCTCCTGCCTCAGCCTTCTGAGTTCTGGGATTGCCGCCTACTGGTTTGTGTCTCTACCATATACCAGAAACCCAGGTGCTTTAGGGTCCTGTCAGGGAGAAGCTGGTCCGTGTGAAATGTGGGAAGTGAAGGGACTTCACAGGAGCTGGCCTGCCAGCATAGCATTCAAACTGAAATATTTTAAAAGCATGGGTTGGAGGCGCTGGAGCAGTGGCTCAGGGGTTAAGAGCACTGGTTTACTCTTCCAGAGGACCGGGGTTCAATTCTCATGGCCTGAATGATGTGCACAGCTGTCTGTAACTCCAACACCAGGGGATCGGATGCCCTCCTCCCTTCTAGCCTTTGTGGACACTTCATGAACCAGGTGCACAGACAGAAGTGCAAAAACATCCATGCACATAAAAATAAATACAGTTTTTGTTTTTTGGAATAAATACATTTTTTTTTCTCTTGGTTTTCGACGCAGGGTTTCTCTTTGTAGCCTTGGCTGTCCTGGAACTCACTCTGTAGACCAGGCTGGCCTCAAACTCACAGAGATCCATTGCCTCTGCATCCTGAATGCTGGGATTAAAGGTGTGCATCACCATTGCCCAGCTCAAAAATTAATAAATTTTTAAAAATTAAAAAATAAATATAGCTTGGGAAAGACTGAAGGACACAGCTCTAGGCCAAGCACGACTGGATTATCAGACCCTGGCTATGACAATTGGAGAAGTGCCATGCTGAGTATCTAGTAGGATGTTTCCAGTGTCCTGCCCGCAGGGCATGTGTGGACACTCAGTAGACACTGGTGGATAGAGTGGCCGCTGCTGTCATGGTGGAAAGGGGGACTTTTTGTCATTACAAGAGGCCATGTCTTTCCAGGTCATCAGTGAGAGAGACATCCTTGGGTCTCAGCTTGTTCGGCGCAACGATGAGTTAGCCCTGTTGTACGAGAAGATCAAGATCCAGCAGTCAGTGCTGAATAAAGGCGAGACCCAGTACAACCAGAGGGTGGAGGACATGCGCATCCTCAAACTGGAGATCAGGAAACTGCGGAGGGAGAAGGGCATCCTCGCCAGGAGTGTGGCGAACGTGGAGGAGCTCAGGTAGAAGGGAGGTGGTGGGGCCTGTGGGGTCCCTGCAGAAGGGCCTCGTGTGCATCCTTGAAGGGTTAAAGCACATTGTACAAAATGGATGCCACAGGATGAAAAGGTCCATTGAATGACAACAACTGCTTCACAAAGTCTCCCCTGTGCTCATGCTGTGTTGCAAAAACAGACCAGTCTCCTTCCAAGGGGGTGGAGGGGACAACAAGAAGGTCATTAAAACACCCTTCTGGCTCTTTCAGAAGGAAATTTCAAATCAAAGCTCAAATACAAACAAACACAAACCAGTTACAATTGAGATTTTTTTCTCCCTCAGTGAGTTCTTTGGAATTCCTTTAATCAGGCAGCCTGCAAGAGATAGAGCATCAATATTTAAATGCCATCTTGCTAATATATGCTTGCCTTTTTCTTGGAATAACGTATAGGGTGGAAAGAGGTGGAAATTTTAATTCTATTACTCTGAAAATCTGTTTTCTTAGAAGGCGGCCGCATTTCCTACCTGACTCTTGATTCATCTCCCGCGGCTTTCCCTTAGCTCACATCATCCTTGAAATCTTCCAGCACACAGCATCTGCTTCCCTGTGGGAAAACATCCTTGTGTTTCATAGGAGCCATTGCAGGGAGCTGAACCAGAGACCCGGCCTTCCTTGGTGACTCCGCCTTATCCCTTAAAGACTTGTAGAAGCACAGCTTCTCCTTGGCCACCACAGGAGAAGGATGCGGTTTGGAAGGATGCTTCTTATAGTAATTACAAGAAAAGATACTTCTGGTGTTCAGATGCAGGAGTTGTGAGTTTGACATTATCAAGGATGGATCAATCTTTTTGATTTTTGGAGCTGTCTGTCTTTCAGATGATGAACGTGACACGTTCATTGTGGGAAATGCAGAGAAAGCACACAGAAGGGATTAGAAACATCACTCTTAACTTTGCTACTCAGAGATCACCACTGATGTTTCACCGACAAGTGGGCCCATTCTATGTGGCCACCGAGTGACCTCAAGGGCTGCCATGACATTTGTCAACCATGAGTTATTTTTGTGCTATATAAAAGGACCACATTCGATCCATTCCTAGTCAATATTGCTGCTTTGTTGATAATGGATTTTATTTCACTCTCCACGGAGAGGGCAGTTTCATAAAGAATGGATGCAAGCAGCCCTGCTGTCTACCAGCTGTGTGACCTTGGGCAAATTGCTAAGTGTCTCTGGGGTTTGGACTTGTATTTACAGTTAAAGGTAGTAGAAACCGACGCAATGCGCCTCTCAGAGTCGCCTCCACAGTCAGTCCTCAAGTATGGCGGCTTGTACTTTTTCCTTCCTCCTTCAGGATTGTTCTAGATGAGCAAAGTGTTAAAAATATGCTTTTAATTCTAAGCAGCTTGTTCTGCACTCCCTGTTGAGCGAACATCATGCAGTTAATTCTAATGGTTTGTCTTGTTAATGAGGGGAAGTTGTATTATTGGTTTAAATGAAGCAATTAAGTAAAAGAGATGGCTTCGTGTTAGTAATCTGCACATTCACAGCCGCTGAGGACAGATAGTGATGTCTTTATTACGTGAGTCAAAGAAAGCACTCGTCCCTTCTTCTCCAACAAAGGTTTTGGTGAATAGAATCTGCTAGGATGCTGAGGCGGGAAGAGACAGTCTACCTATTAACCAGAGATGCCTGAAGATTTGAGAAACATATTTGAAACAGAGCTGGGGCTTCAGGGATTTTTCTTTTCATTTTTTCTTTTTAGCCACTTATGGTTGGTGGCTGTGGGACATAAGGTAGAATATCTTTATATTTCCAGACCCAGCATCTCCAAACCCAGGCTGCAAATTGGAATTAACTGCAGAGCTTTTCAAACCTATGAGATACAGGCCTTGCACCATACCCCATATAGCAGAAATCCTCTTGGGCAAAAGGCTGTTGAGAGTGATTCCACTATGCTGTGAAGACGGAAGTAGGCAGCCATAATTGGTGCTGGCTTATCACCTATGCTACAGTAACTTGCTGTCAGGGTGTGGAGCTTGCGATGCACTATGCTGTGAAGACGGAAGTAGGCAGCCATAATTGGTGCTGGCTTATCTATCACCTATGCTACAGTAACTTGCTGTCAGGGTGTGGAGCTTGCGATGTAAAGTGTTCACCAACCACTTCTGTAGAGACAGGAACACTGAAATATATCTTGGGACTCTCAGAGTTCCCTTCCCAACCTGGCTCCTTGCATATGCTTCTAAATTCCCCGACCATTCAGAATCAAGATTCTAAAGGCTGCTGTTGCTCAGGGCTAAGGCACTTCTTGAACTCCAAATGAATTAGTCTTCTTTGTGACCTTCCTAGGTTTGGGAAACTGGCCTCTCTCAAAGCTAACAAGTTTCCTAGTTCCAGATTTTTATGCCAAATTCAGTATGTCTACAGTAATCAATTCACTGTTTGTTATTTATATGTGTGTTGTATACATACATGCATGAGTGTGAGCACATGAGAAGGTTGGCATATGGTGCTTTTCCACTTTATTTATGAGATAGGTCTCTGGCTGAATCTAGAGCCCACAGATCCAGCATGACTGGGGGATCTTCTGCCTCAGTGTCCCCAGGGGTGGGTTTATGGTTGGGCCACTATACCTGGTTGGCTTTTGCATGGGTTCTGGGAATTTGAACTCTGGTCCTTATGAATTCAGGACATTACCCACCCAAACCCATGCCCAGCCCCCTGTAGCAAAGAGAGCATTTTCAAGAGAAGTTCTTTGCCAAACAGAGCTTGTCTCATCCAGGCAGGAGCTTTTCCACATGCAAAGAGAATTCCTGAAGGAAAGGACGAGATGTCGAGCCCTGGAGGAGGAGCTGGAGAACCCCATGAATGTGCACAGATGGAGGAAGCTTGAGGTAACACCTGCTAGAGCAGCCTCCCTAGCCCCAGTCCTGTTCTCCACCCACTCAAGGCTCCTAACCTAAAGCAGGATGAGAGTAATGGAATGATATGCAAATTGTCACCTACAATGTAAAACTGGATCAAATGTAAATTGGGTTGTTTTAGAACCAGATGGTTAATTTGAGTTTGGCTTTAAAAGTCTTGGACAAAATCCTACCTGCCCCTAAAAATATCCTGTGAAAGCTATACCACTTTTATTGGTGGGTATGTATTTTGCTTTTAGGTAGTTTTGAGATTTGGATTGACTATTAGTTGCCTTTAGCAGTCTCTCCCACCAACATCTTAGCCTTCTTCCCTTTCCTGCAGGAAATACAGTTTGGTGGCTCGATCTTTTGCAAGGTCTAGGCTGTGTTGGCCAAGCCCTTTCTCTCAGGATCTGGGGACAGAGCTGAAACTACTCCTGGCAAAGGATGAGTAGTTGACTTTTTAATTCTGTGGCTCCTGCTAGGCATCATGACAATCTTTGCAAACACCAGCCACAGACAAGCTCTGCTTGGTCAAGACAAGGATGGCCCTCTCTTTATTTGTACACAGTGATGTGGTGCCAAAAGGGACTAAACGACCAATTACAAGGTTGAGAAATATAAGTCTATGGCAGAAGAAAGTTTAGTGCGAGGCAGAAAATCATCCAAATAGGATTTTATTTTTATTTTCCTTTAATGAAGAAAGTATTAAAGTTAATGCATTATAAATTGTGTAAATACAAGGCCTGAATTTTAACACCATCCGGGGTTGCCAAGCGAATGTGTGCCAAATCCTGTCCAGCTATGTAGGCATCAGCTGGTGCTGGGTGAGCAAAGTCAGAGTTAACAAAATATCATCTTTATCCATATTTAGTGTCCAAAGTGGCGCAGCCGACTAACTCGGTGATTACCATGGGTCTGCCAGGGAAGTGAGCTGAAGATCTCACACCTGCTTGCATCACAATAGCCTATTCTATGTGTTCTCATGTAGATCTTGGAGATTTCCAACTCCATGCCGATTTCTATTTAAAAAAAAAATCAAGGACTCTGGGGGGTGGTTGAAATTATCCAGCTGCTAGACTAATTCAAAGTGTCACTATGACTGAAATCAAAGTCCTGACTCCAAGTCCAGAGGACGATGCCAACACAGACCTGTAGCTCTTATTTGAGAGAAACACATGTAGCTGCTGAGGGAGTAAGCGTCAAAGCTGTCCAGGTTGATTCCATTTGAGTGCTAAATGCCACAGCCCTGTCCTGCTGCCCCCCACCCCCTTTAGCAGACGCCACATCTGGACTTGTCCCCATCGTGGGCTGTATGGAACCTTCTGGTTGACACTAGTCAGAGGGGAATCTCAAGGTTGATTGATTTCGGAAGTTAGTCCCATGGGAACCTGAGGTGGCAGGGAAAGCCCAGAACATCATAATGAAAACCACAGGCTTCATAGCAGGGCACGTCTTGAATCCAACTTGGACCCTTCCCAGCCTTGGCAAATGACTTCTTTGCTCCCAAGTGCTCCTGTCCTGTAAAAGGGGAAGATTGGTATCCCCTCACAGCTGTCACATGGCTAAACTGTGATGTCACACGGGAAGCACCGAGCGTCGCACACGGTTGCCTGATGATTAGTGTCTTTCCTTCTGGTGGACTAACACGCACGCCTTTCATCCACGGGTTAATCAGAGTCATAGTCGAGACAGCAGGCAGTGTCATTTGCTGTGCCGTTTTGTTTTTGTTTTTGTTTTTGTTTTTGTTTTTCTGTTTGGTTTTAGCTCTTTATTTACTAGGTCTTCAAGTGGGAAAGACATTTTAGCAGAGCAGTCACTGTTGCACACAGACCACGGAGCTTTCAAACTGATGCTGTCTCCCGTCCTTCTCCTTGGACAGGCCAGTGACCCCAGTACCTATGAGCTGATCCAGAAAATTCACACCCTGCAGAAGCGGCTCATCAGCAAGACAGAAGAGGTGGTGGAGAAGGAGCTTCTCCTTCAGGTACCGTTTCAATGCTTGTGCTCCCCACGCTCAGCCACCTCCAGGACCCTCAGAATCAAGTGACGTGGCAGCGTTGCACGCCTCGCCCTAAACTGCAGGTGGCAACAGCGACTCACGCAAGGGGAACAAACAGCCTAATTAATTGTTCTTTTATGCTGCGATCACTGATATTTCAAGAATCCCAGAAAATTAAGTTCAAGGCTAGACTTACTGCAGTCGGGTAATGTGAGCATTTTTCTCACTTTCTCACAGCTCTATTGTTTGTCAAATCCTTTTAACCGCTTTTCTTCCTATCTTCATGGAGTGTGAAGAGCTGCGATTTCAATCTTGAAAACAGTTTTCACATAGAGCACAAATGCTCTGTCCACAGGAGGAGCTGTGTGAATGGAGCGGGAAGACGTGTTTGAGGATGTGATATGTGTATGGGGGGGGGCGGGGCGTGGGGGGGGCGAGGCGTGAGGG